CCCCAAAACCCCAAAACCCCAAAACCCCAAAACCCCAAAACCCCGAATGATGAAAAGTTAATAGAAACTCAATATTTTAGATAATTAATAGAGAAAATCTTTTTGATAAAGAGCTTCTTATGTTAGGATTTTCCATTTAGGTAAGAAGCTAACCCCGCATGTGCAGTAATCGTAGTATTTAAAAAGCCCTTCGTATGTGATATCGAGTCTGATTCTTTCTTCGATAGGCTTTTTCTTCTCGACTTGAGTTGAGTGGTCGCCAATAGAACTAGGAGCCGCCATTTTTCCATCATTGATAGAGGACTCTTCTTCACTCATTCGCATTTTCTCTCCTTTCTTTCTTCCATACTTGCTTCCTTTATCGGTCATATCAATGCCTTGCATTTTCCTCATGCTAGGTACTTTTCTCTATGGAGGAATAAAATGAAAACAATACTCTTCTTGCATCAATTATAACCACATTCGGAGTTGTCTCCTTGTCAATCCAGTAGCCCTACAAAGGTGCTCTCTTTGCTGATTAGTCGGGTACGGGTAAGCAATGTTTTCTTTCAACCACTCCATTAAGACTTCAATTGTCTCAAGAGAAAAATTACTCCGCTTTGGTCCTTCTGAGTCTAAAATAAGCGATCACAAAGCAGCTTAAGGGCAAAATATTTATGGAAAAGTGGGCATTAAGATTCCTTAAAATTTATATTGATAAAAATTTTCAAAAGAAATATTATTTGCTGGGAATCCCAATTTTATCAAAACTTTGAAACATTAGATTTTTTAGTTAGGAATAAAAATTTTGAAAATTTAGTGAATCCAAACACTGAGATTTATTTAGTAGTAAATAGCCATGCCATCATGCTTGAAGTACCATACTCTTCATCTTGGAGTCTTTAAATGAGAGAAGTCGAAGACATTAAATTAAGGGTCCCTAGCAATAGGATAAAATCTTTTGGATTTCAAACTTCAATTAATCAATTCATAATGATACTAAATATATAGCTGCTACTACTGGTTCGTCTCATATAATCCTTGCTGCCAACGGAATAAGAGGAGGATCCATTCACTTAGGTTCAAAAAATATTTTAAGAAAAATTTAAAGCTTATCAGAAAAACATCAAGAACTTATAGATAGTGTAATTTGTGGGTGAATTAGCTAAGCCTAGTGGGAATTAAGGCTGAATCACTAAGGCGGGTTCAAATTTTCCTCGAAGAAATATGTACAAAAAGCATTGTTTTAGACTACTTAAAGAGTGGCCAAATTTTAGTAATATTTTCCGTGGAATGATGAAATCAAACTAATAAAATTTGTAAATTTGCCACCAAACAGATGGCAAAGAAGGATTGACAAATTTTTAATTTCGGATTAGCCAAGTTTGTGATGGCAGGGAGAAGTTAAAGGGAATAGGGAGCAACATTTACCAGAATAGATATTGGAAGACACTTACGTTTGGCTGTTCCTCAGTCACTTTTTAAGTCTTCCTGTCTTAATACAGAACTTGAGGTCTGAGATTTTTTATCCAAATTCTAAAAAGATGGTTAAAGCTTTTATTTTAAGTAAAGAGAGATCTTGATAAAGGAGCTAGCAGGGTATTCTCAAGCATCATACCATCTTTCTGGGTTTAATCAATAAATTAAAAATATTCAATTATGGCAAACTATAAAGGGGTTTTGGGGTTTTGGGGTTTTGGGGTTGTGGGG